AGCCGAAATCAAGAGTCTGACGCTTAACTGACTGAGCCACTCAGGCGCCCCGAAATCCAGTGTGTATTTTATACTTACAGCACATCACAATTTGAACTATAGCGCATTTCAAGTGTTCAATAGGCAGATGCGTTGAGGGGATACGGTGCTGGGTAACACATCCTAGAAGTTACGTTAAGCTTGTTTAACTACACCATGCGTCCTAACAGCGTCCCTATTTTATCAATTCAGTTGCATGTGTAGCTAAATTATCATCTTCTTTCGGGAGGGTGAAACAGTAAAGCATATGGGTTAATAAATGTTTCTAATTTACCTACCCGGGCAAATAAATTCCAAATAACTTAAGGTCTAATAAATCAGATTAAAAAGTTAACATTTTACTTTAAACATAATATAACCTAATACACATTTATATTTGACCTACTAGTAGTCCATACGTTTAGGTACATGATATATGCTACTTTCCCAACACACTCTGTATTTTTTCTTAGCAGAGGGATCCCTTCTATGATTAAACCAGGCATTTAAAATACTGCCTTAGCATTAAATTTTTATAAAACAGATACACTGATACTCACTGGTTCTAAAGAAGGAATTTTTGGACCTCTGATCTTGTAGCTAACCTCCTCCAAAACTAAAAGCATGACATGCTTTCTTACTTTTCCAAGCATGTAACAATCAGAAAAATTCAAACAGCACTGAAATGCATAACGTGAAGTAAAAGTTTCCTGTGATCCAGATACGACCACTGTTAAGTTTCTTATATATCCTTTGTGATGATTTTTATTCTCTAACCAAGCTGCCTGCCCAGGGCACAGTTCTTGGAACTCTTCTTCATCTATATTCACTTACTCGTGATCTCATCTCGTCTCATGGTTTTCTATGCCACACAAACACTGATGACTCCCACAATTGTATTTCCAACTTAGATAGGTCCCTGAAACTCCAGACTCGCATGTCCAACTACTAGTTGTTTCCACAGGGAGGTCTAATGGGCAGTCCCAAGAGTCCAAACACAAGCTCCTGTTCTTCCATGCTCAAACGACTCCACCCACAGCCTTTCCCACCTCATTTACTGTAACTCCATTCCTCTAGTTACTTAGGCCAAAACCTTGGAATCAGTTCTACACCTCTGTTCCTCTCACATCCCACATCGGATCCATCATCAAAGCCTGTTGGCTCTATATTCGAAAGATCTACAGAATCCGCCCACTTTCAACCTCCACTGTTACCTGAGAGAAGCGACCATCATCTCTTGCCTAAGGATTACTGCAATTCTCCTAACTACCATCTGTCACCCGCACCCACTGCTTCCTACCCACTCTGGTCTATTTAGACCACAACAGCCAGAGGGATCCTGTTAAAACCTAAGGCAGAGCATCCAACCCCATGCTGAAAACCCGCCAATCATTTCCCACCTCACTGAGACAAAAGCCAGGTCCTCAAGGATCTGGTGGGCTCCCATCCTTGTGACCTCATGCTCTGCTCCTCTCCCTCTCTGACCACATCTTCTGTCGTGACTTACCGCTGTCCCACCTCCCGTTAGCCCCACTGGCTTCCTGCAATTCCTCAACCAAACGAGATCCACTTCCCGCTTTAGGACTTCATACTGCTGTTCACCCCGAGGGGAACACCCTTCCCCAAATATCTGTATGATTCTGCCCTCACCAACCTCAGGCAGTGCCTCAGATTTACCTATAAGCCTTCTCTGACCACCCTATTTAAAACTGAACCACCACCTCGCATGCCTATCCTGACATTCTATCCTGTTGCCTGTACTTTGTCGCCTCATAGAACCTTCAACCATCTGCATATTTCATTCGTTTGCTTCTTATGTAATATATAATTTATGATAACATAACATAATATAATAATTTAATATAACAACACTATAATATAAACAAAACGTTTTATATTAAATGTTGTATATTATATGTTATGATATATATAAACAAATGAAATATGCAGATGATAGAAGGTTCTATGAGGAATACACACACACACACACACACACTTAGTGTATTCTTTTTACATACTGAGATAATAATATGTATATTATCTGCCACTTAACTCTTCTCACTCAGTAATATATTGTGGCTATCCATGTAAATCAGGTAAAAAAGACCAACCCCATTCTTCTTAAGAGCCACTGAGTATCCTTTATAGGGATATACTGTAATTTATTTACAAACACTCCAGTGATGAATATTTAGACTATGTCTAATTTCTCCCTCTGTCAATGGTATAATGAATATTTCGGCCAGGGCTCCCATTCACATTTTACTCCAATCGTGGTTTTTGTTCTGTACTGAAAACACCACCTTAATGTATTCGTTTGCTCATCTATTGGGTCTGCCCTTGAGTCAAATGGAAGCTCGTAAGTGAGAAGCCTATCTGTCTAGTTCACTTCTGTAGAAAAATGCCTCAGACATAATGAGGGCTCAGTAAATAGTTATGAGTAAACAAATGAATGTATTATTTTGCACATTTTGGCAACTACTTTTACAAGGTAAGTTCTTAGAAGAGGAAGAGCTCTGTCAATGGACAATCTAACCTTGAGTACTCATTTCTTTTTTTTTTTTTTTAATGTTTATTTTTGAGAGAGAGGGTGAGAGAGCACGCACACAAGCAGGAGAGGGACAGAGAGAGGGGGGACAGAGGATCTAAAGTGTGCTCTGCACTGAGAGCAGAGCCTGACGCCGGGCTCGAACTCTGGAGCTGTGAGATCTTGACCTGAGCCAAAGTCGGATGCTTAACCAACTGAGCCACCCATGCACCCCTTGAGTATTCATTTCTGATGGTTAGATGAGATTTTAAGATTGTTTTTACAGACCTCAGAGTATGACCTCATCATGTTTATATTTTACTGACAACCCTAACCTTGAGAGTTCAGGTGCCTACGTAAAGGTATTGTTTTTGACAAGATCCAACTTCGTTTTCCACAGCTCAGTTAGGTGGAGTTTTGGGTAACGCCTGATGATCTTAATTCTAAGTTATATAGAAAGAACAAATGTCTTAGAGTACAATTACTTGGAAGCCAGAGGAGATCTTAGAAATATTACTCCCAATCTTTGGGTTAAAAGGAGCAGAGCTTCTCCCGGCTGAAATGGGAACTAGGAAGGACAGTATCTATTAAAAGAAAGAACCCATCCCCTCTGGGACCCAGCGATTCCTTTTCTCAGTACCTGACCTGGAGAAAGAAACTCCCCTGTACACAGACAGAGTGGCGCGTGTGCAAATGCTCACTGTGGCATTGCTTAGAACAGGGAAAAACTGGGGGCACCTGGGTGGCTCAGTCAGTTAAGCGTCCGACTTTGGCTCAGGTCATGATTTCACAGTTTGTGAGTTCAAGCTCCGTGTTGGGCTCTGTGCTGACAGCTCGGAGCCTGGAGCCTGTTTCTGATTCTGTGTCTCCCTCTCTCTCTGCCCCTTCTCCTCTCGTGCTCTGTCACTCTCTGTCTCTCAAAAATGAATAAACATTAAAAAAAAAAAAGTACAGGGAAAAGCTGGAAGTAATTTCAACACTTAGCAGTAGGAGAATCACTCAATTTCACACAGCCATGCTATGGAATACTATACAACAGTTTTTTAAAAGGAGACAGACCTACACTAACAACTGCAAAGGTTCTTCAGGAAAGACTGCTGAATATAAAAAAGCAAACAGCAACAAATATGGATAACATGATACTGCTTGTGTTAAAACAGACACCAAAAAGCCCACTATTTATTCTCGGTGTGCATGTGCACATGTGTGTATTCTTAAACACATGGGCAGAGACTGGCAAGATCAACAACAAACTGGACAAAAAAAAAGAAAAACAAACCAACAATGATGACTTTTACGAATCAGAGGAGAATTCTAGCTTTATTCTATCATTTTAAATTCGGGTCTAATTCTATCATTTTTACCACAACAAAGTGTCTATACATAACTTATTACATTCTTAAAACTCAATTTAGGAAGAAGAGGACAGGAGGCCAAAAGATGAAAAATTGTTTTTAACTGTGCAGCCTCTTTTACTTTTGTTTATGAAACAAAAACCTTAAGTTCTCAAATCTTAAAGATTTGATCAAGAGTAAATTAAACGTGTTTTTACATGTCAGGAGACTTTTTTTTTTTTTTTAAGTCACAAGTAAAGTCAGAAATTTGGGAGGGTACCTTACCCACTGACTCCCCTCCAGGTGTTTTATTTTTTTTTTTCTTTCAAATCTCACTGGAGAAGGTGATCCCATCATCCCCTTTTGTTAATAAGTTCCAGTGTGAGCAACACTTATAATTGGGTAGTTGGGGATCAAGTCTCCCTCTCACCACACACACACACACACACACACACACACACACACACACACACACCATTACTATAAATAAGTAAAGTAAATACTTTTCAGAATACTGGAAAAAATTCAATTTGATTGGAGATAAAATATGGGGAAAATAAATGTTACTTTCTCTGAAAAACAATTTTTCTTCCATAAATTATATCTTTATAACAGCTATACGTATCAATTTCCTCCCCTGTAAGATTTCAAACAATTTTGATATAAGGGGGAACATCCACTCCAATCAAATATCATGAACATAAAACCAACTTACTCAAGTTGTGATTGTCCTTTTTTTGCCTCTCTTTGGCCAATGCTCTCGCTTCAGATTCTGTGGGAAAAATACACGCTGTGCACGTGAATGAAGTAATTAGAAACTGGAACGGTTCAAGGCACACAATGATGTCAACTACAAAACACCTCATTTTCTAAATATATAGAAGCTTATCCGACCAGATTCTAACAATCCAAAGAGGGTTTTTCAAATTATCATTCTTAAAAAGCTTGCATTTTTTCCAAAGCAATACTTACGAAATAAATGCAAAGACTTGGCTTCTACAAAATGGTAAAAGACCAGTAACAAAGATGTCTGACACACTACAAACATACAAGAGGAAAAATAAATAACCAGAGAACTAGGGAAATTTGCAGCTGATATTCTATTATCAGTGAAATTTTCTTTTCATGCAACAGAACTTTGAGGTTATTTCTTCGAGGCCTTTGTAACATTGACATAAAAAACTGGGTACAGAAGCTATCACATTGGCTCTCTAACTGACTGGTGGAAATGGACTCATTTTTTCAGAACTGGGAGCCAGGTTCCAACAGAACCCGCTGGAATGAAATTATGATCCTTAGGAGCAACTATTTTCCTAGTCTGGGTTTATGAAAACAAACAGAGGAATAGGGTACTAAAGCATTTGGAAGCAGCTCTATTGGAAAAGATGTATTTGCATAGCAACTCTTGTGAGTTCTCTGTGATGAGGGATTACTTTGCACCTTTCAGGACAGCAAACCAAAACAAGAGAGAAACAGTCCTTTGACTAATCCTGGGATTCTAGAACCTCTGTTATTTCCTTTTCAGAAGAGTTATCTGAAAGATTACACTACCTTAACTCAGAATCTTACCCCAAAATAGAAACCTTTTTAGCATAACTCATAGCCACTAAAGTATGTATGTATGTATGTATGTATGTATGTATGTATGTATGTATTATGCATGTATTATTATGTACAAATAAATAATTCAGAAGCTAAATTATTTCAACTTGGAAGTTCAATCCAAATGATTTTCTATTTGTTTCTCACATGAGCATTACAGACAGCTTTTATTCATACACCCTCCACTTCACTATCTTATTTTTTGTTTTCTTGCTTTATTTCTAGCCCCCCCCCTACCTTTTTTTTCAGTTTGCCAGCCACACACCATGGTTTTCTGCCTTCCAACTTCAACCCACTAACTGTGGACCAGCTTTGGCCAAAGCAATCCGGTGAACTTCTCTAACATCTGGTAGCTTCACCCACATCCTCCCCAAGGGGGTGGACTCTTGGCCTGGGGGGTGGGGGTGGGAGAGGTTCTTTCTCAAGCCTGGATACCCCCTGCAGCCTCAGGATCTTCTTTAACATATCATCCTAAGTAGCTGCTAGCCTGTGTTTGGTTAACAATTCTATATTTTAAACCTCCACTGTTCAAATCACCATGTGGTCTCTGCTTCCTGACCAGAATCTAACACAGGTGGAAAAACCAAACTTAAGAAAGATAATTTTTTGCCTGTAGATCAGAACTGACTCCTAAGCTTTTGGCTACATCATACTCCTGCTCCAACTAGCAGTGTTCAGAACCCTAATTCCTGTCTATTTCTCCTTTTCCTGCCGGGAATGGTCATTTTCTATGATAGAAAGTGATTCTGGAAGTGTATACTTCATTATATCTGCTTACTTTCTTTAAAAAATCAACGTCTACCCCTTACCTATTTCTCTCATTCCCACCTGTTGCCTCTGTTGTTTTCTTTTGTTTTTGAAGAAGCAAACACATAATTCAAAACCCCACTTTGCACTTAAGTTGTAAGAATTCTGATCATGTCACGCTAACCACATTTTATCATTACTTAGTATAGATCTCGGCATTATTTTCTAAGAACTTCATGACACTGTTCCTTCCTGGTAGGGTTCCTACTTTTTTGTTGACTTCCGATGAGTTTTAATATTAATTAGTTTTATCCTTTATTTAAAAGAAATTTAATGTTTATTTATAGTAGAGAGAGACAGAGTACGAGTAGGTGAGGGGCAGAGAGAGAGGGAGACAAAGAATACGAAGCAGGCTTCAGGTTCTGAGTTGTCAGCACATAGCTGATGTGGGGCCTGAAGTCAGGAACCACAAGATCATGACCAGAGCCAAAGTCGGACACTTAACTGACTAAGCCACCCAGGTGCCCCAATTAATTATCTCTTTTAAACCAAATCAATGTTTGTTTTTCCAAATGTCTTTCTCTTGCCACTATCTTCTGAAATATTTTTTTAAAAAGACACCCTTGATCAAATAGGAATTTTTCACACCAAATATATTTTCCGTATTTTCAGCGTGTTCACGTAATCCTGCAAGATGCAAGGACCAAACATGAAAAAGGGGGATAAGGTGAGGGCCATAAAATTCAGCATGATAGAATGCCAGTTCTAATGTCGTTTCGTCATGTTTTAATGGCCAAATGCTCTCCCTAAAGCGTTAAACAAAATGGTGAAATAGGTAATTTCACACATGCCCCAGGAACAAACAATACCCATTGCTCGGTTTTATAATCTATTTTTTTACTCCGTGTAATAAATCTTTTGCATGTGACTTAGCAAAAATAACAGGAGGCATCTGAAGATGTTAAGAAATTCATTCTTACCCTATCCTGACAACTGTGGGCTTGAATGTATGTCCAACAAAATATCGGCCCAGGGTTCTCAAACGCAAATGCTTCTAGGGGCTTAGCACAAACACCAGATGGGTTAGAGACATCTGATCATTAAAAATGTTGCCTAGTGCCCCCAGCCCAAAGGGGACAGCAGCCAAAGACACAATGAGGGGTGTCATGGAGTTCTAACAATGCCATGGAGTGACAGCAGCCCCAATTCCCAGTACCTCAAATACTGGAAATTTCCAAGTATAAATCTTCCATCTTAAAATATTGCTCAATGTTTTCACCACCGCATAGACCTAAAAAAAAGTATGTCTACGAATTGGCAAGAGTCTGGAGGTCACAATTTTGAGAACCGTGTTTGTCAGGAAATCAACAGAAAATCCCCAGTAAGAGGCACTCTTGCCAGGATTTACCTGTGAGCTCCCTTTTTATGTTGGGAAGGTTGGCTGGACAGGAGTTGCTGATGGTGAGGCCTGGGGGTGGCAGTCCTTGGTTGCCATAAAGATCAATCAGATTTCCAGAGACAGGTAACTAGAGAGAGAAAAACAGTGATAGAAACAAACTGTTGAACAGCTCCTCATTCAGCTAGAACCCGTATCGATTCCGGACTTTACTTAAAAGAAACGGTAGGATGCAAAAAGTCATTTTTTTAAAACAGGAAAGCACGACATGTTTACACTTTTTCACTCACTCAGAGACATGGTCACCTTAGCTCATTCCCTTTGAGAGAAGGAAGGACGCGGAATCTCCTACCCATGAGATGGCTATATTACCAGCTTATACGTACATTTTGAGCGTGCAGACAATGGATAATGTGGCAAACTCACTATCTAGCACATCCAGGGGCATACGCTAAATGTTCAGTAAAGGTCGGCTATTACCGTAAAACAGGGTTCTGTGTGGCATGACTTTTTCACCAAAGCACGTTTTTCATCAAAGTCATTTTTTCCATCCCTCTCCTTTTTATCTCTCTTCACTATAAAGAGCACTTTTGCAGCGGAAAAGCACTGAGAAGTGTTCTCTATTGGCAAAGAAATGGTTTCCTCATTGCTAAAGGAAAGCTATTTTCCTTGAGAGTGAAATCTTTCGCAAAGCCACAAGAGGGAGCCCACTGACTTTAATAAAAGAACAAAACATACACTTAAAAAAAAAAAAAAAAAAAAAAAAAAAAAAAAAAGGAAAGTATTTAGCCTTCTCAACCTAGCTTAAGAGTGTTTTTCTCCAGTTCTGAGTTGAATCATTTGAAGTAGTGAACTTATTTCTGCCCCCAGTGCTGCTTTTCCTGTACTGAGTTCACTGGAAGAGTCTGATGTGCCCGTTTTTGGGCACAAGAGGGGCCCCGGACATTTCCTCTTCCCACCGGCTGAAATAAAGTTCTCAACTATCACTCTGGGGACACAGTTAAGTGACCTCACTTCTGCCACTGCAGAAACTCCCCATTCCCAGCTTAATTCAAACACTTCCTGTAAACTATTAACACCGTGTAAGAAATTGATCGTTTAACCCTTCCTGTCCTTGACTATACACTCTAAGTTTTACTCCACGTCTGAGAAAAGTGAATGTTTACTGACCAAGGGGCTCCAATAAAGATGACATTGAAGATTTCACCTTTCATTTTCTCCAGTGGCTACTAACATACAGATAAAAATATCTCACAAAATAAAGATAGAAATGTGTTTCCCTTCATCGGTAGCCTTCGACCATCTATCCACCATGGCTTCTAAGTATGTGCTCTATGAAATGAACCCCGAACTAAACCCCAAATGAAAGAGATGGGGGAGGCTTATACTTTCTGGCAGGTAAACAAGGATACCAGCTCTAATATGACTGGGTCCTGAGGGCAGGGAGGACAGACAGATCAGCAGGACACCTCTCTCTCTTTTCCACTCAGTCTTTTGCTTCTTTTTGAAGGCAGGATGTATGTTATGTATATAAAATGTACTATATATATCCCATTATACAGATTCATATAAACAATGCGCTGTGATAACTTAAAATGTCCTTGAACCACAAATTCAAGCCCCTCTAGCTAAGAACCTGATCAAAAGTGACTGTGATTATTAGCTGTCATTTTACTAAGTGGTTTTATTTGAAGTAGGTCACCTTCTTAGGGTCAGTCTCGCCTTGTGTGTGCTCAGTTGTACTCCTGTCCAACTTAAGACACCAGAAGGAAGGGGGTGCAAATCTCTCAGCACAGCACTGTAAAGAGTTAGAGCATCAAAACTTCTAAAGCTGCTATGACATCTCATAACCCCTCTGGATTCCTCCTATCTTTCCGGAGTTTCAGATCTTTGAAGAACTACTGAGTATTAATAAACTAAGGATGTGGCTTTAAAAATTCAATGCAACAAGCTAAAAAAATATATTTCCATTCCTCTAGAAATACAAATCATATCTATTATATTTTCAAATGCAAACTGTAAGCAACACGTGCAATTGTGTTATGATGATGATTTGTTAGGGAAAATTAATAGACAAGACACACATAGAGAGCTTTAAAAAAAAAAAAACCTTTAAGTCACCAAAGGACTTACAGTGAACAGATATCTGATTATAAGCTTTTCCAGGACAAGAACATATTTTCTAAACATATTCTAAAGGAAAATGTGTGTACATATACCAAATAAATGCAGACTCACAGGGAAGGGAGGGAGGGAGGGAGACAGAGACAGACAGACATGGAGCAAAAGAAACAAAAACTGGGAACGAGACAGAGACAAAGACTCAGAGTAGGGGTGGAAACAGGAAGAGAGAGACACATGTGCATATGGGAAGAGAGGTGGACAGACAGATGGAGAGACATGCAGGATGGCGGTGGGGAGAAAGAGAGCAAGACTGGGGACCCCCGGAGAGAAATGGATTGGGGGGGAGCTGAAAACTCCAGGAAAGATTACTGTGAATGGCAGGGAGTGACAGTGGGGCCCGCCAAGAAGGGAGATGAATTAACATCTCTAGAACAAGACGCCTTATCGGGTACTCCACTGAGACATCATTACTTCCAGTCCCCAGAACGGCTCATAAGTGTCCACCTACTTCTCTGCAAGATTTCCTGCTCTAGCTGCTTTTCCAACACTTGCCGAACAGGAGCTGGCAGCATGTACCTTGCCGGAATATTTTGCTGGGGACAGTTTTTTGTGTGGGGTCCTACTCTGGGCCAGGTACAGAACTAGAAAGGCACTCTGTGGATGTCACCTTAACAGCTTTTATGGCAGAAAAACCATGGGGCTAGCTATGTGTGAACAGAGTTTTGTGGTAGGAGGTTCATATACTATATTAATAACAGTATTGGGGGAGGGGTAGTGTCAACCTGCTGATAAACCAATTAGAAAGTGCAATTTTCAAGTCATCTCCAACTGGATCTAAGCAAATAAAAACCTAGTTGCTCACTAGCCAAGTATGGATGCTCAAATTTACGCATTAGTAGTGCAGCCATTCACAGGCGGGCTTAGGAGCCAGAGAACTAGCTTAAAACCTGCCTGTGTTACTGACCTGCTGTGTGATATGAACCTCTCTGAGGCATGGTGCCACCTCTGAAGAGTGGTGATCACATCACCCATCTCACAGGGTTGTGTAACAATCAGAGGTAACAGGGGGTGAAACACTGTATTTAAGTGATCAGTACACTGCCAGGTTTGGTAACATTATGATTTTCTACAAAGTACTGTATTCCCAACCCGCTCTAAACTTGGATCAATGACACCACATATGCCATGTTAATTACTATGTAGCCTGTCAACCACTGTACCAATTTTGCCAGGCTGCAGTGCAAATCTAAATATAGGAATCAAGGGAACTACAGGGCTGTATTAACGGCTCAGTGTTCAAATCGAGGCTTCTCCATTGGGGAGCCCCTCCCCTTCTCCGAGGGTATCTGTCAACTTCTAGAGTCATTTTGGGGTGTGACAACTGGGGGGGAGTGGAGGGTACCACTGGCATCTAATGGGTGGAGACTGGGGATGCTGCTAAAAACATCCTGCAATGAGCAGGACAGCCTCATAACAAAGAATTATCCATCTCGAATGTTAGTGGGGCTGAAGCTGAGAGACTCCACCCCTAAATGGTGCCTTATGTTGTGTGTGTTAATGGCTGTCATTCGTTGAGACTACTAAGTGGAAGGTTGATTACACATCATTCTGGGGTGCCTGGTTGGTCAGTTAAGCTACAACTTCGGCTCAGGTCATGATCTTCCAGTTTGTGGGTTTGCACCCCACGTCAGGCTCTGTGCTGACAGCTGAGAGCCTGGAGCCTGCTTCGGATTCTGGGTGTTCCCCTCTCTCTGCCCCTCCCCCGCTCGTGCTCTGTCTCTCTTTCTCTCAAAAATAAGTGACATTAAAAAAAATTTTTTTAGGGGTGCCTGGGTGACTCAGTCGGTTAAGCATCCGACTTTGGCTCAGGTCATGATCTCACAGTCCATGAGCTCAAGCCCTGCGTTGGGCTCTGTGCTGACAGCTCAGAGCCTGGAACCTGCTTCGGATTCTGTATCTCCCTCTCTCTCTGCCCCTCCCCTGCTCATGCTCTGTCTCTCTCTGTATCAGAAATAAATAAAACACTAAAAAATTTTTTTTAATTTTTTTTAAATAAATACAAAAATAAACATGGCTTTCTAATTACAAATTGGTCATGCATATTTAAGAAAGGTTCCCCTTCTGGGTTAGAAAAACTGCCCCATAAACATAGCCAACATTTATAATTAAGGCAAAATAATATCTTTGAAGCTAAGGAAGAGGAAGAGGCATCTTCTGTTAACATGGATATGTCGTGGGGCGCCTGGGGGGCTCAGTCGGTTATGCATCCGACTTCGGCTCAGGTCATGGTCTCATGGCTTGTGAGTTCGAGCCCCGCATCGGGCTCTGTGCTGACAGCTCGGAGCCTGGAACCTGCTTCGGATTCTGTGCCTCCCTCTCTCTCTGCCCCTCCCCCGCTCATGCTCTGTCTTTCTCCCTCTCTCTCAAAAATAAACATTAAAAAAATTAAACAAAAAAAAAATTTCACTTCCAGCATAGAAGTGTACAATGTCCAGATCAAAGCCACAGTCTGGTAGGGACAAATAAAGAGGGGGTGAACGCCTATGGGTCTGTGCTCCAAACTTGGTCTGAATTGTGTTCTTCAATGTTCTGCTCCACCAAAATGAATATTTTTCCAAGTAAATGATCATTGTAAAATATTATTATTTTCTTCTTTCTGGATGTTCCCCTTCTCTGAATCTCAATTGAGCACTGTGAGCACAAGTAAACTGGGACTTTTATTCTTTGTTTGTAATGGTACAAGAGGGCCCTTGTGCTCTTAGAACAGTTATTTCTAGACTCCAATTCCCTTAGGATAGTTTCCTCTCTAAGTGTTCCTTCCACTTTACTTTTTTTTTTCAAGAAGTTAACTTGAAATAAAGCATATCAAAGAATCAAATAAACGGAAAAGAAACGCCTAACATAAAGAACGTGAAGTTTAAACTCTACTGTCGGGGGCAGAAATTAAAATGTGAGTGACGTGTGGTAGCTTTGTTGTTTCTTTTGACAACCCAAGCCCAGGTTTATCAAGAATAAGAACTAGGAACCAACATTTAGTAAGTGCGTATCAGAATCAAGACTCTTCTAAATGCTTTTTGTGGATTAGCTCTTGACATTTTCATATGAATTCTATTGTCTTAGATGCTCTTATTATTATTATTCCCATTTTCCACACAAAGAAAGTGAGTCAGAGAGGTCAAATAACTCACTCAAGAGTATGCACTCAATTCAGCTGTCTGGCTCATGATCTGAGTTCCTAATCTCTATATTATAGGGTCTCCACTAATAGCAAAATGCTGAACCGCTTTGGTCATGGTCTGGTTCTGCTGGGGTTACCTTTAGACTTTTTCAGTGTGCAAATATAGAAAAGTAACGAATGCCTGGATAGTAAGCGACATCTGAGGGTGCTACAGGTGACTCCAGCCCTGGCTGGGAATTAATTCAATGCTGCCCAGGGCATCTTTCCCACCCAGGAGCTCCCCTGAGATTGTGCCTCTGCTCCCGAACTACCCTCCTCTATTCAAGGTCTGACACAGTCTTCTCTTTCCAGGTTGGGAAGCTCTATGAGCAGAGGTAGGAAAGCTCACTCATCTTCATCCACAGCACTTCACTCAGGGCTGGTGACACAGTAGGTATTCAGTAAATGCTAATTCAATCATAAAGTTAGCTTAGGAGCAATCAGATAATCAAGAAATAAGGTTTCCATTCTAATGTAGAATGACTGAGGAGACATGGGTATTCAGTCTAAAGGAAAGAAGCAGGGGCGCCTGGGTGGCTTAGTTGGTTCAGTATCCAACTTCGGCCAGGTCATGATCTCTTGTGAGTTCAAGCCCCACGTTGGGCTCTGTGCTGACAGCTCAGAGCCTGGAGCCTGCTTCAGATTCTGTCTCCCTCTCTCTGCCCCTCCCCTGCTCATGCTGTCTCTCTCTCTCTCTCCCTAAGAATAAGCATTAAAAATAATAAAGGAGAGAAGCAAATGGGGGTCTTGAAAACTGTCTTCAAAAGGTTTGTCATGAGGGGGCACCTGGGTGGCTCAGTTGGTAAAGCTTCCAACTTCGGCTCATGTTTGTGGTTTTGAGCCCCGTGTTGGGCTCTGTGCTGACAGCTCAGAGCCTGAAGCCTGCTTCGGATTTTGTGTCTCCCTCTCTCTCTCCCCCTCCCCTGCTCAAACTCTGTCTCTTTCTCTCTCTCAAAAATAAACAAACATTAAAAAAAAAAAAAACAGAATACATTAAAAAAAGAAGAAGAAGAAGGATTGTTCTGAGGACAAGTTCTCCATGAGGCAAACTGGGACCCATGTCTAGAATTCATACAGAAACTCATTGTAACATCTGAATTATAATTATTAAGTATGATGTTATTTTAAAATAGGGGCGCCTGAGTGGCGCAGTCGGTTGGCGTCCGACTTCAGCTCAGGTCACGATCTCGCGGTCCATGAGTTCGAGCCCCGTGTCGGGCTCTGGGCTGATGGCTCAGAGCCTGGAGCCTGTTTCCGATTCTGTGTCTCCCTCTCTCTCTGCCCCTCCCCCGTTCATGCTCTGTCTCTCTCTGTCCCAAAAATAAATAAACGTTGAAAAAAAAAAAAATTTAAAATAGAACTAGACACATTATAGATGCTCAAGGAATATCACCTGAATAAAATACTATCAAAATTACTTGATAGTATAAAAAATTACTTCATAATTTCGATGTTGTTAAGTACAACTTGTTTCCAATGCTGAATGCTACACATACTTTATGAGATGACCATGTGAGGCAGGTACAATTATCAGTCTGATTTTACAGATGGATAAATGCAGGACTTCAGGAAGCTACGTAACACGCAAGATGACAGAGGAACTGGAAGGCTTTGGATAGGAACCCAGATATGAGCACAAATCCCCAACTCTTAACCATTGTGTTTTCCTGCTTGTCTTGTGAGCTAGTGCATATCCTTCTTTAGAGAATTTCAAGAAGATGCATGACTGATTCTATGTGTGTATGCAGGGGAAACGGAAGATATATAAGGGAAGGCTAATGCACAGAGTACTCGGTTGGCTCAGATGACTTCAAAGGTCCTCATTATTGGAGAAAAAATTTTAAATGATTTATAAAAAAAAAATCATGTTAAGTTTATAGTCTTCCTGAGTGCGCCTGGATACCACTCGACACCACTGGCAAAATGACCACCTTCATCAAGCAAAGTTCCTTTGGGCTGATTGGGCCATTGCTAATAATTGCAGCGAGGGCATTGAAAACATTGTAAACATACCCATGTTTCCGAGTATATTTATACATTCCACAGTGCAAGCTCTCCCAAGTGTTTTGCTCACATTCATCCCAGGATTTCGACTGCTGACAAGGGTAGCCCTCCTCACAAGAGGCACAAAGTTGGAAGCAGAAGGGTTCCGACTGATGCCAACTAAGCGCTCCAAGAGGGTGGGGAGACTGTGGCATGGAAACATCTGTCAAGATGGCAGAACATCCAGATCTTTCAAAAACGGTGGGGGGGGGGGGGGGGGGGGGGTTTAAAT